ACCAGCCGCACACCCTCGTCAGTCACCTAGGGGAAGCGGACAAGTGTTCTTTGCTAAGTTTTAAGTGAACTTTAGCAAAGTAATAGATAAAAGAATTACATAATTAAGAGCGATGAAGGCGCGAGAACATGTAAAAAAGATTTTTTTGATTTGAATCTGCTTTTAAATCTATACTATTATAATAAAGAGTAAACACACACTTCTTTGTTGCCTAACATGTCGGCAATTACAGCATATTTTTGAATAATTCTCTCTTTAATAAAAAGCCCTACACTTACGTCACGCTTTAGGCTTTTTACGCCATTAAACTTAGGGGGGTAAATATTTTGGATGAAAATCCTAAGGTGGGAAAGAGATCATAAGCTGCTGCCAACATCAAGAAAGAAAGATTGCTAAGGTTTGTCGTGTCATTTTGACATTAGCTATTGATAATTTGACAAATATAAACAACAAAATAAAGTTTTCCTAATTTCATGCGGATGAAACCGCACGGGAACAGCTAGTATATCAGTAAAATAAGCGTTACTGTATTTATTAGGTTACACATACCTGTATAAGTTGATCATGACAGACGTTGCCAGTGAAGAAAGTTTGTCTATCCGACACGAAGCCTTTGATCTCCGTTTCTTCCACTTCCTCGCCGTTCAGTGTTAACACTCTAACAACACACATCACAATAAAAAACACACAGACATAGACAAAAAAAAGTCAAATTATTAACAACTGAACATAGTAGGGGAATTTAATTTATGACCCATCTATAAATTTCAATTTACCACATTTTAACGAAATAAGTCTATCATAGTCGTAAGATATTATATAACACAATAAATGTTTTTTTTTTTATAGAGGGGAAAAATGCTTTGGGAGCTACATACTGATATATCTCACCTAATATATATAGGTCACCTAACATAAGTCCCATTACCGACTAAACAACCACTGTGGTACTTTTTCTACCCCTCCGTAACACTACACATTTGTGAAACAATGTAAATCACCTGGTTTGTCCTACAAATGCCAGCACGAGTGTGTCATGGTAGTTGGAGCCGTGCGCTAGTGTGAGCGGCCACATGCCCTTGATGCCGGGCAGGTCTATAGACGCCTGCTCCTGGATGCCAATTCCGTTGCGTATGATTCGCAGCGAACCCATTTTGAACGCACCTAGGAACATAACCACACATCTATACTAATATAATAAAGCGTAAACACACTACTTAATAACTGTCAATCACAGTACATTCTTGAATATTTTAATAAAATGCCCTACACTTAGGACTTACACATGTCAACGAGGCACATGACGACAAGACACGAGTCGACAAGGCATGTGTCGAAGAGACACTAGTCAAAAAGGCACGTGTCGAAGAGACACTAGTCAAAAAGGCACGTGTCGAAGAGACACTAGTCAAAAAGGCACTTGTCAACAAGGCACATGTCAACGAGGCACTTTTCGAAGACATCACTCACCGGAGCATGTAATGAGTTGGTTCTGTCCCTGTCGCTCGAGGTCCACAAGGCACATGTCGACGATAGGCGCGAGGCTGGTGAAGGTCTCCATGGACTGCACGTACTGTCCCGCATCGTCGCGAGCTGCCGACAGCCGCACCAGCGCGGAGTCCCCCAGCCGCGAACCGATGAATACCACACCGTTATCCAGGTACGTCATGCACTCCGGGATGGGGATATCACCTGCAAGTACAATCAGGGAGTTTGTCGGTGTCCCATTTTAACGGTACAGTCGTTTCAATGTTTTGTACGCGAGACGATGCATAATAAATATGCTTTTAAATGTGTCTCCATGAAAAAAGCTAGGTCAATGATACATGGCTAACTGCAATATATAATTATTCTGTCGTTTGCGCAACTCACTAATATTTAATAGTTTTTTTTAACTCCCCAACATCATACAAAAAGTTTCTCCCGATCCAAGGAAAAGCTAAAATGTTCTGTAAGTAGTATACTGCGGGTTTCAGTGACTGTACAAATAACACATGAGACACAAAAAACTAAGGTAGCAAATGAAAGTTTCAATAAAAGTGATGTTACCTAGGAGTTCCACTTTGAGGTCCTTGACCGACTGGGTGCCGTCCATCTTCTCCTGCAGCTCCAGCAGCAGCATGAAGAGGCGGCCCGCGATGTCGCCCAGCAGATAGCGCATACCCTTGCCGTCCACACGGCAGTAGCAGTTTATTGGTGTCATCTACAAGTTTGAATTTATGTCCATTTTATGTTCTTAATAAAAGCCTAAATAACCAACAATAGAGATTTTATGGTACAATACGCACATTTTATTTTACTTTATTTATTTATTTTATTTTATTTCAAAGTGCTCACACACTATAAATACATTTAACCCTTACAGGACCATAAGATGGCAAAGACTGAATATTGATTTTTTTTCATATTTGATTTTGGCGCAATAAAGTTTGTCTGTTTTTTGTTTTTCTAATCATTCAGAAACACATTTGTCTTGGATATACGTTTTATTTTGACATTCATTAAAATAAATATCGATTCAAAAATAATCGAATAATCGATAACGATTTTTGTGATTGAAAAGAAAATTATTCCCTTTGAATGTGATAGGGTTGACAAATAATTAAAAAGCTAGAAATATGTTGAAAATTGTTAACCTCAATTATTACCTTTATCTGTGAAGGTGCCACTGCTACATAGCTCTGTCCATCATGATAAACTATTGACTCTTGACCAATTACTATAGCGCCTCCTAATAATAGTATAAAATCGTGCAAATAAGCCAAGAATTTCATTGTATTCTTAACTAAATCAGAAGTAACTTCATTATTTACTTGCTGCTAATGATTCCTGTATGTCAATATTTTACTTACCTAAAGGACTTGGTACTGGTATCAATATAGACGCTTCTGTCTCCACATTATCTTGTTTCCAAGGTATTTTCATGAATTCTTTGTCTTTTGCATTCAGTTCATGTGTCTGAAAATAAACAATTATTTTATACCTCGTTATCTGAGATATTAAGTTATAAAATGCTACATAGGAAATATAAAGTGGTAGTGCCCGCTTTAATATCTTAGCACTGCAGGGCTGGCACGCCCCCAGTAATAACACGACCACACAGAAAACAGGCGTGAAATGAAAGCAATTCCTTGTTTCGTCTGATGAGTGTGGTGCAGGAGGCCTAATTTTAGTCCCTTTCTCTTTACCACCCTTTTCTTATAAGGAGAGGTTGGGAAGGGGAAGTGGATTAAGCGGTGGAGGAGATGCATAGGAAATGGAAATATCCTCTTTATATGCGTCTCCTCCTCTGTCGTATAAGGGTAGGCAACGCATCTGCAATTGCGGATGTCTATGGGCAGCGGCCGCTTTGCCATTTTGGCGGATTCTAGTGGCCGCTTGCTCGTTTGCCACCTTATGTTATAAAAAAAATAATAAATTACTGTAATATGGCTTACTTTTATATGTCTTCCATTGAGATCTTGATGTATTAATATTAACGTAGGGTTGGCACAGCCATGAAGAAATTCTAAATCATAAACATTTAACTCTTCCAATCTAAAACAATTTTCAACAATCATAACATGAGATGGAAATATTAAATCTTAATTAGAAAAAGTATTACAGAATGACTTAGATATATGGATGTTTGAGTACGTAAGCTTGTTTGCGATGACCTAAAGCTTGGCTTTGGGTATTAAAATAATATGGCGTGTTTTTACTAGATGCCAATAAAAATACGTACCTTAGACTAGCAGCTTTAAGCTCCGTTGAATCTTTGTCCAATGGTATAATCTTAAATAATCCATCATAAAGCCTCAAACCGATGACCCTAGCCTGTGGGTCAATCACCACCAGGATGCCATTCTCTGAAGGCTTTCCAATCCGGTCGGCTACATTGCCATGTGCTCGTGTTACCACTTCTAAATCACCATTAGGTCCTGTCCTCCATTCTAATATCATTGCATTATATCGAGCTGTTAGAATGAATACTAAATCTTTCTTTTCATACTGAAAACAATAATTTATCATTGATTACAATGTGTATTGGTAAATTGTACTAAAAGAAAAGTGGCTCAAGATAATTTACATGTAATATAACACATGTACAGTCAGGGCCCTTCGCAGTGCTAGACTTGCAGAACAATTGCTTTGTTTCTTGCAACAAAACTAATTCTGCCTATCAGCAATAACCTACTAAGTAGTGAGATGCATAACCGAATTATATCAACCTTTTTTTGTACAGACACATTTAAAAGTTACTGTTATGTCTTTTCTCAACAAAAAATTAAATAATAATAGCTTTAAAATTGGAACTCTGTAAGATTCCCTGATAGTACAAGAATACTGTTCATAGTTTGTAATAGAACAGATTTTTTGCTTCTAATTATGTAGAAATATTATTTATCTTGTATTAAATTGCTAGACATACTTACTGGAGGTCTGAATAATTTCATTTTAGCAACTTTTCCATATAGTCCAACTTCTTTCATAGGTCTCAAGCCCTCTGGAGTTACCAGGTACATTTCCAGACGTGACACTTTAGCCACCAACAAATTGAGGTCTGTAGGACTTGTGAAGTTGCCTGTTTTATACAAATAAGGGAATTTTTGTTAATAGAAGATAAAAATTGAAGAAACTCTCAATATTTTTATCTAATAAGAAATAAATAGCAATTTCTTTGAAGTAGATAAAATTGAATACAGTTCAAATATGACAGGGAAAATTTTTCTTTTTCATATACTGAACATAGTTACACAAAATATTGTATGCTCAAAACACAAATATCTGTTTAGAAGTGATGTCAATCTCGAAGTATATGTTATTTTTACTATAGGTAAAAAAGTGCACTTATCAATGATTAAATCCATGCAACTGTTAAACTTTGCAGTTTTTTAATGTTTATATTGCGATGGAATTTAAAATAAAACAAAAAAATTAGCAAATCACCGTAAAACTAAACTAACTGCAAATTAAATATAAATGTAATATGGATGTGATGACTATACATTTCTTTAACTTGTAATATATTGTGTAATAGATACAGAATATACTTTTCACCTCAATTAAATGCAAAATGAATTTCTAATAATTAAAACATTTTCAATTAACAATATAGGATAGAGCCTAGCCTACCCACATGCCTTAATCAACTATCTATTTAATTCCAATATTTTATCACGATCCATGATATAAAAAATTAAGAAAGTTATAAGCTATAAATATAAACACAATAGCATGTTACTATAAGAATTAAAAATATACTACATAGTAAAGAAGTCAAGACGATTGTAATTTTACAATCATAACAAAGTCGTAGATTTTATTTAGTGTTCCAAAAGCATCCGACTATAAACTCAAGAGATGTCCCTAGGTTTTAAACCTTAAGATTAATATTATTTTGTGTTCAATGAAGCAAAATAAGAATAAAATAGTAAAAATTGAGTAACCTCAATACGACAAAAACATCAATAATTCTATTAACATTTACCGGTAATGCATGCTGTAACTGCTGTAGCTTTTTGCGCTGTAACAACGTAATGATAAGCCATGGTGATCCTTTTTAACTTAGAACCTAATTTTTAATATAAATCATTTGAATAATAAAATACACAATATTTGACAATAATATGCCGCCTGCTCCAAAGAGTATAAATTGAAAACCATAGTGTAACAGAGCCTCATCTATTGACTTTTGTTCTGGAATTTTGTTTATGAATCTCAAAAAGAAATCACCCTAATATTTCTATAAGTTTAGTATTAGAACTAAGCCTCTAGGCTTGTTACTAGTATTGGTACTTTATTCAATATCTTGCTTTGGGCTTCTAATTATCGACCATAGGATAAAACATTTTGCTTAGTTACGGTATTACAAAAACATTGCAACGCCGTATTTTCAATCATAGATAACATTTTTTTAGATTAATTAGCGGATTAATGCATAGCTGCATCAACTACAGACATTTAGAAAGAAATAAAACGATTTTTTTATTCTTAAAGATTATATTTCCTCTTATTATCTATATTTACAAATGTGGATACGATGCATACGCAACATGAATAAAAAAAGTTATATAAGTCAGTCTTCATGGTCGTTAGGCGGCACGCTCTCGAACAGGACTTGAGTGAGGAATGTGAATTTTCCTGTAAATAGAAGAATATTAAAAACAACCAATAAAAGAATCCTGATTGTACCGGAAGTCTTGATTTAAACCATCATAAGAGAAAGTGCCAGTCATATTATAAGAAAAATTTGAATGACACTAAACATAAGCTCACAATTATAGTACAGTCGATAATTTGGATAGGTTTGGGTCTAGCTATCTCCTTTAGCATAAAAATAACACAATCTTAAAGCTAATATCTCAATTTTAAGCTAAATAAACAATACTTACTAAGAATCGCAGTTGGTGTCTTCTTATAATAGACAAAGACGGTGTAAACTCCGATTCCCAATACAATAAAACCTATAGCCATTAAGTATTTAACGGAGGGATCGTGTACTATGGGCAGGATGGAGAGGAATATGGCAACAATCAGGACGAAGCAGGGAACGGGGGTGGGTACACGGTAAGGGCGGGGTTTGTCAGCCTGCGTCCTCCGCAGCACCAGTAGCGCGACCATCGCCAGCCCGTAGAAGAACCAAAGGAACCAGCTCGCGAACTCTATCAGGGTGCGGATGTTGCCCACTAGGATGAACACTGATGTTAATATAGCCTGGAATAAATTTTTATCTTATATTTTTTTATTTAAAAAAAATAAACTACAACCGACTTCGAGACCAAAAATTCGGACTTTAAATTAGGATTTTAGGAAAAACTCAAAAACTACTGGGTAGTTTTTAATTTTCGAAAAACTTCTCCCTTTTTGAAGTCGGTTAGAAATTTAAAAAATGATGTATAGGCTAGGCCAGGGGTGGCGAACGTTTATTCATCAAAGTGTATTTTTTTTTTAAAGAAATGCTTAATGCGGTCTTAGACGTGCCATCGAATAATTTTGACTGCGATTATTGCGTCATTTCCATGGTACACTAACTTCATAATTTTTTCGTAGTGTTTTTATGATTGTTGACGTGTCCAAAATATTATATCGTGTGCCAGTAGTTTGCTACCTATGGGCTAGGTTACTCCAAATTAGAACTTAAGTTTGTAAATCACCAGCCTTAAAATCCGACTAAGTTTGTTTTTATTTCCACTCAGGTAAAAGCTGGTGAAAAGTATTTCCAACTATCAGTATGGCAATACAGTACCTGGAAGGCGACAGCTGGAGCTGGAGTGAGACGCTTCACATTCACATAGGAGAATACTTCCAGCATATGACCGCTGCGCGCCGCCGTGTAGCACACCCTGACACATACTCATACAATAACATACAAAACTTTCAGCTATATTCACACATACAAGAAAAAAAAAACTAAAACTGCAAAAAAAAATTACAATCAGCGAAACTTTCAGTGGAAAATGTTAATAAAATGCTCAAACGACGATTGGTTGAGAATTTAACTATAGCAACCTTGTTCCTTAGCTGCTATTGGCTAGTTATAGTCCCTTGCAGAGCAATTTACCAATGTTATGTCTATTTTTAATGCTATATCCAAGATAATCCAAAACCAATCCATCAAAGTCTTTGTTAATCTATTTATATAAATTAAATTAATATATAATCATAATTTTAGAGTGTCGGTAAGTTTAAGCATTTGACTTGTAGTCAACAGGTCTTGAGTTCGAATCTCGCCATGTACCGATGGGATTTTCGATTTTCATATGTACTTAATTTACCTGACTTTCTTATGGTGACGGAAAACAACGGTAACCTGCACATATCGGCGAAGAAATTCAAAGCTATGTGTGTGTGTCAAACTTAGTGTAGACTCCCCTAATGGGGACATATAGTGAGCTGATTAAAATATTTTCTAACCTGGTAACCCCGAACTGCACACTCATAGCGCAGCCGAAGGTGGCGATGGCAACACCG